ACATTTAAAAACGAAAACTGCATTTTTTTTACATTTTTTAAACAAATGTTGAAAGAAAGTATTTTGACAACATCATTATCTGTTGCAAATTCCAAAGGAAACCTGTAATTTACCACCGAAAATTAATTTGAATACACCAGAAGCTTTAATATTTAGTGGCGAAGCCCTTAGATTTGATCACAGCCGCACATCTTGTTGGCATAGAGTCAATAAGTTTGGTAATCACATTTAATGGTATTTCCTTCCAATCTTCTGCAAGACAGGCCATCAGGTCTTGTTTTCTGGAGAATTTTCTTTTCCTAATCCGTCTATCTAACTCTTCCCATAGATGTTCTATCGGGTTTAGGTCAGGACTCTGACTTGGCCACTCTAGAAGTTTAATCTTTTTAGACTTAAAGAACTCTTTTACATGTACAGAGGTGTGTTTCGGATCGTTATCCTGCTGGAAAATCCAGTTTCTGGCAAGGTTGCATTTAGCATGAGGGAGCATGTGATTCTGCAGTATTTCACAGTAAAGAAATCGGTCCATGATACCCTTTACTTCGACTAACGGACCGACTCCTAAATGAGAGAAGCAGCCCCAAACCATGACATGGCCACCACCGTGCTTAACGGTCGGTACCTGATACTTAGGGTCATCTCTTTTGTTCGGAGGACGTCTAACATACTTTATGCCATCAGATGAGAACATATTGAACTTGCTTTCGTCGCTCCACAGCACACGAGCCCACTCTTTACTAGTCCAGTTCTTGTACTTTTGGGCAAATTCGAGACGCGCCTTTCTGTTCTTCGCGGATATGAATGGTTTTTTGGAGGGACGTCTGCCAAACAAATTTGCGTTGCGGAGGCATTGTTTTACAGTGGTTAAACTGATATCAAGACTATGATTCTCATTTAGATCTCTCTTAATATCAACTGCTGTCAGACGTGGGTTAGCGAAACTCATGCGGCGGATAATCCTAGTTACCCTGTCAGTGACTTTTGGCGGTCGACCCGACCTTTGTTTGTTGCTAACCGAGCCTGTGGACTGCTGTTTCCGGTTCCAAACCGAGATTATTTGTCTGCTCAGATTAAAATCCCTCGCTACTTGAGCTTGAGATTTTCCATTTTTCAATGCTGCAATAACAGCCAATTTTATGTCGTCGGAATATTCTTTGTGTTTTGGCATAGCTCTAGAACGTAAACAAAACATAAAGCAAAAACCGTAAATAAAGTACTTATGCACATAAGCCTCTGCGTGTTTTTTTAAGACAAAAACCTCTGTGTCAAAATACTTTTCGACTTATAGATTGAAGATAACAGCAGCACATCCGAAACTAAACATCCACCCAATTAAGACTGATG